ATCCTTTTGATATACTGTTGAATTCTGTTTGCTAATATTTTATTGAGTATTTTTGCATCTACATTCATCAGGGATATTGGTCTGTAATTTTCTTTTTTGGTGGGGTCTTTGCCTGGTTTTGGTATTAGGGTGATGTTGGCTTCATAGAATGAGTTTGGGAGTATTCCCTCTTCTTCTATTTTGTGGAACACTTTAAGGAGAATGGGTATTATGTCTTCTCTGTGTGTCTGATAAAATTCCGAGGTAAATCCGTCCGGCCCCGGGGTTTTGTTCTTGGGTAGTTTTTTGATTACTGTTTCAATTTCTTTGCTTGTAATTGGTTTGTTTAACTTTTGTGTTTCTTCCTTGGTCAGTCTTGGGAGGTTGTATTTTTCTAGGAAGTTGTCCATTTCTTCTAGGTTTTCCAGCTTGTTGGCATATAGGTTTTCATAGTAGTCTTTAATAATTCTTTGTATTTCTGTGGAGTCTGTCGTGATTTTTCCATTCTCATTTCTGATTATGTTGATTTGTGTTGACTCTCTTTTTCTCTTAATAAGTTGGGCTAGAGGCTTATCTATTTTGTTTATTTTCTCAAAGAACCAGCTCTTGGTTTCGTTGATTTTTGCTATTGTTTTATTCTTCTCAATTTTGTTTATTTCTTCTCTGATCTTTATTATGTCCCTCCTTCTGCTGACTTTAGGCCTCATTTGTTCTTCTTTTTCCAGTTTTAATAATTGTGATGTTAGACTATTCATTTGGGATTGTTCTTCCTTCTTCAAGTGTGCCTGGATTGCTATATACTTTCCTCTTAAGACTGCTTTCGCTGCATCCCACAGAAGTTGGGGCTTAGTGTTGTTGTTGTCATTTGTTTCTATATATTCCTTGATCTCTATTTTGATTTGTTCATTGATCCATTGATTATTTAGTAGCATGTTGTTAAGCCTCCATGTGTTTGTGAGCCTTTTTGTTTTCTTTGTAGAATTTATTTCTACTTTCATACCTTTGTGGTCTGAAAAATTGGTTGGTAGAATTTCAATATTGTGGAATTTACTGAGGCTCTTTTTGTGAGCTAGTATGTGGTCTATTCTGGAGAATGTTCCATGTGCACTTGAGAAGAATGTATATCCTGTTGCTTTTGGATGTAAAGTTCTATAGATGTCTATTAGGTCCATCTGTTCTAGTGTGTTGTTCAGTGCCTGTGTGTCTTTACTTATTTTCTGCCCGGTGGATCTATCCTTTGGGGTGAGTGGTGTGTTGAAGTCTCCTACAATGAATGCATTGCAGTCTATTTCCCTCTTTAGTTCTGTTAGTATTTGCTTCACATATGCTGGTGCTCCTGTATTGGGTGCATATATATTTAGAATGGTTATATCCTCTTGTTGGACTAAGCCCTTTATCATTATGTAGTGGCCTTCTTTATCTCTTGTTACTTTCTTTGTTTTGAAGTCTATTTTGTCTGATATTAGTACTGCAACCCCTGCTTTCTTCTCACTGTTGTTTGCCTGAAATATGTTTTTCCATCCCTTGACTTTTAGTCTATGCTTATCTTTGGGTTTAAGGTGAGTTTCTTGTAAGCAGCATATAGATGGGTCTTGCTTTTTTATCCATTCTATTACTCTATGTCTTTTGATTGGTGCATTAAGTCCATTTACATTTAGGGTGACTATTGAAAGATATGTACTTATTGCCATTGCAGGCTTTAGATTCGTGGTTACCAAAGGTTCAAGGTTAGCTTCTTTAGTATCTTACTGCCTAACTTAGCTCGCTTATTGAGCTGTTATATACACTGTCTGGAGAGTCTTTTCTTCTCTCCCTTCTTATTCCTCCTCCTCCATTCTTCATATGTTGTGTGTTTTGTTCTGTGCTCTTTTTAGGGGTGCTCCCATCTAGAGCAGTCCCTGTAGGATGCCCTGTAGAGGTGGTTTGTGGGAAGCAAATTCCCTCAGCTTTTGCTTGTCTGGGAATTGTTTGATCCCACCATCATATTTAAATGATAGTCGTGCTGGATACAGTATCCTTGGTTCAAGGCCCTTCTGTTTCATTGCATTAAGTATATCATGCCATTCTCTTCTGGCCTGTAGGGTTTCTGTTGAGAAGTCTGATGTTAGCCTGATTGGTTTTCCTTTATAGGTGACCTTTTTCTCTCTAGCTGCCTTTAAAACTCTTTCCTTGTCCTTGATCCTTGCCATTTTAATTATTATGTGTCTTGGTGTTGTCCTCCTTGGATCCTTTCTGTTGGGGGTTCTGTATAATTCCATGGTCTGTTCGATTATTTCCTCCCCCAGTTTGGGGAAGTTTTCAGCAATTATTTCTTCAAAGACACTTTCTATCCCTTTTCCTCTTTCTTCCTCTTCTGGTATCCCTATAATACGAATGTTTTTCCTTTTGTATTGGTCACATATTTCTCTTAGTGTTGTTTCATTCCTGGAGATCCTTTTATCTCTCTCTATGTCAGCTTCTATACGTTCCTGTTCTCTGGCTTCTATTCCTTCAATGGCCTCTTGCATCTTATCCATTCTGCTTATAAATCCTTCCAGGGATTGTTTCACTTCTGTGATCTCTTTCCTGACATCTGTGATCTCCTTCCGGACTTCATCCCACTGCTCTTGCATTTTTCTCTGCATCTCATCCCACTGCTCTTGCATTTTTCTCTGCATCTCATCCCATTGCTCTTGCATTTTTTTCTGCATCTCTGTCAGCATGTTCATGATTTTTATTTTGAATTCTTTTTCAGGAGGACTAGTTAGGTCTGTCTCCTTCTCAGGTGTTGTCTCTGTGATCTTTGTCTGCCTGTAGTTTTGCCTTTTCATGGTGATAGAGATAGTTTGCAGAGCTGGTACAAGTGACCGCTGGAAGAGCTTCCCTTCTTGTTGGTTTGTAGCCTTTTCCTGGGAGAATAGCGACCTCTAGTGGCTTGTGCTGGGCAGCTGTGCGCAGACAGGGCTTCTGCTTCCTGCCCAGTTGCTTTGGGGTTTATCTCCGCTGTTGCTGTGGGCTTGGCCTGGCTGGGGCTGTTCCTCCAAAATGGTGGAGCCCCGTTGGAGGGGGAGCAGCCAGGAGACTATTTATCTCCGTAAGGGGCCTCTGTGCTCCCTGCTGCCCAGGGGGTTAGAGTGCCCAGAGATCCCCAGATTCCCTGCTTCTGGTCTAAGTGACCTGTCCTGCCCCTTTAAGATTTCCAAAAAGCACTCTCCAAACCAAAACAACAACAGCAACAATGAGAGAGGGAACAGAAAGGAAAAAAAAAAGAAAAAACACGCGATTTTTTTTTTTTTTTCCCCAGGTGCCGGTCCCAGGCACCCGCGCACTGGTCCTGCTGCCCTGTCTCCCTAGCACCAGGGTCCCTGTCCTTTCAAGGCTTCCAAAAAGCACCCACCCACCGGTCCCGCAGGGAAGGAACGCTCAATATTCTTTGTCCTCAGGCACTGGTCCCACGCACCCGCTCACCAGTCCCGCCGCCCTGCCTCCCTAGCACCGGGGTCCCTGTCCCTTCAAGGCTTCCAAAAAGCACTCGGCAAAAAGAGAGAAAAAAAAGGGGAAAAACGCGCGATTTCTTCCGTCCTCAGGTGCTGGTCTCAGGCACCCACCCACCGGTCCCACAGGGAAAAATGCGGGATATTCTTTGTCCTCAGGTGCCGGTCCCAGGCACCCGCTCACCAGTCCCGCCGCCCTGCCTCCCTAGCACCGGGGTCCCTGTCCCTTTTAGGCTTCCAAAAAGCACTCGCAGAAAAGAGAAAAAAAAAAGGGGAAAAACGCGCGATTTCCTCTGTCCTCAAGTGCCGGTCTCAGGCACCCGCCCACCGGTCCCGCAGGGAAAAACGGGGGATATTCTTTGTCCTCAGGCGCCGGTCCCAGCCACCCGCTCACCAGTCCCGCCACCGTGCCTCCCTAGCACTGGGGTCCCCGTCCCTTCAAGGCTTCCAAAAAGCGCTCGCCAAAAAGAGAAAAAAAAAAAAAGGGGAAAAACGCGCGACCTCCTCCGTCCTCAGGCACCGGTCTCAGGCACCCGCCCCCAGGTCTCGCAGGGAGAAACGCGGGATATTCTTTGTCCTCCGGCGCCGTTCCCAGGCACCTCCTCACCGGTCCCGCCACCCTGCCTCCCCAGCAACGGGGGCCCGTCCCTCTAAGGCTTCCAAAAAGCGCTCGCCAAAAAAAAAAAAAGCTCCGGTTTCTCTCCACCCGCCGGGAGCCGGGGGGAGGGGCGCTCGGGTCCCGCCGGGCTGGGGCTTGTATCTTACCCCCTTCACAAGGCGCTGGGTTCTTGCAGGTGTGGATGTGGTCTGGATGTTGTCCTGTGTCCTGTGGTCTCTATTTTAGGAAGATTTTTCTTTGTTATATTTTCATAGCTCTATGTGTTTTTGGGAGGAGATTTCCACTGCTCTACTCACGCCGCCATCTTGGCTCCGCCCCCTCTTAGCAACTTTTAAGTTTATAATACAGTATTGTTGACTGTAATGACTATGCTGTGATTAGATCCCCAGGACTTAGGTATCTACTAGTTCCAAGTTTGTGATTTTTGAAAATTTTAGAGTAGATTTAGATTTACAGAAATATTGCAAACCTGGGTCCTATCAATATTAGTAGAGATTATAGAATATTTAAAAAAATGCCATTACGTAGTATGCTTGTAGTTGGAATGAAATAGGCACTTTTATAAACTTCATCCAAGCTATTGACACATCAGCTTTTCAATAGGTTTCAAGAGTCATTAACAATTTTAAAATGTTTACTTTTATCGAGTAATATTGTGATATTCTGGGAATTTTCTTTCCTAGAAAATAATCAGATTCTAGTTTTAAAATTATATCCGATTTGTTGCTTCCATCATTATTAATAACAGCAAAAAATTAGAAACAATTCGAATGTCCAAAAATAGGGAAATAGTTAACTGTTTAACCCACCTATGACAGAAGACTATTTTAACACCATCACATTGTGTTTCAGAGAACATTTAAAGATACGGAGAAATGCTTATGGGTATTAGGTGAAAAAGCAATGTGCAAACCTATGTATGTGATGTTCTTGATTTTATTAAGAAAAGTACACAAATGACTAGAAGGAAATGTGCCCAATTGTGAGTATTCCTGGCTGCTGGGATTACCAATGATTTTGTTTCTTTCCTTCTGTTTTTCCATATTCTCCAAATTCTCTAAAATGAAAAAAGTATCACTTTTATAATCTGGAAAGAAAAAATATTGTAAAATACAGCAAAATTAGTTTGCTAATATTTACATTTCCCACCTTTTGAGTAAAATGAAGTATTTTCAGAAACATGTTTCTGCTATCTAAACTTCTATTTGGGATGGTAGTTTATATTAAACATTAGAAGATGCTTTTATATTAAGTAATATGTTCAGTTTTTTAAAAGTTAAAGTAGGTTAAGTTATAAGCCATGAAGGAATTTAGTTAGCATTATTTTTTTATCCATGCTTCCTGCTCTTAGAGTTGACTGATTCTGAATGAACTTTCTTTGTTGATTGTATTCGTTTTGTATTTTAAATTGTGGTCTAAAATTGTACCACAAGCCTAAGGTACAGTTTGAGCATGATCGCCACCCTGTGTTTATTTGAGAAAATGCTAATGTATATTGAAAACCAACGTAGTCATGTCATGAGTATTGTTAAGAGCCTCACTACGCCAAAAGTGGTCCCTGTGCCCGCCTCATCAGCATCACTTGAGAGCTCGTTAAAAATTAAGACTGAGGCTCCATGGCAGACCTACCAAGTTAGACTCCTATTTTCAAAGATTCCCGGGTGATTTGTGTGCACGATAAAGATTAAAAGCCACAAATATGAAAGAAGTATATCTCCAAAAATACAAATTATTTTGTCCCACTATTATACATATAGTATAACACTCATTTTTGTGGTAATAGGTGTAAGAGGTATGTATTTGATCCACAACTCAAGGGTGTAAGAAATGGAATTTTAACTTTATGCACATAACTTAAAAACCCCATTTTCTGGGGGGAGTGGGGTAGATTGAAACTGAATCTTTAGTAAATTCAGTATCTCTCTTATTGCTTTTCTCTGAGGTAGTCAAATTCCTGTAAATGTCTAGAAAGTTGGAGGAAGGTGAGCATCTGATCTTCCATAAGCAAGGCATTCTATTGGCACTTGCTAAAATGTTAACTATCCTCCTTGGTCCTTTGTTGTAAATCTATGTAGCCTGCTGTTAGACCATTATTCATTCTTATTGTTGGGGCTACTTCAGGTCTGGCACCCCCCTTGTTACTTTATCCTGCTATTTCCATGCTATGGGAGCCTACAGGGAAATCTCTGGGGTGATTTCTCCATGACATTTGCCCAGGAATGAGAAATGAGAAAACTAACCCATCAAAGTTTATGCAAGGTAGATTATATATATATTATATACAATTATTGTATATAATATATATATATATATATATTAGACATACATATATATATAAACATATATATATATAATAGACACTTCTCACAGCCATTTCTTCTCAGGGATCTTGCTGACCTCAAGGGGGTTTTACCTGGGAAGCCAAATATAGGGCCCTTCTTCTTTTTGATCTCCAGACACTTACATCTCAGGACTCTGATTTCCCTTTGTCTTAACCCACAGGTAGAGAGGAAGGTCAGGCCTTTTCATAGAGACTCAACAGGTCTCAGAGCTTTCCTCCCTGACAACCCTCCTCACAACTCAAGGTTTAGATTTTTGAAAGTGAAAGGCCCTTTTTATAACAGCCCATTTTGTAAAGGCCCGTGATCAAGTTGTCTGAGTGGAGAAGGGCCAAGGGTTACAGAAATGCAGGGAGAAAAGCTATTTTAAAATATTGTGCCACATGAATGATAGGATATAAGCCTTATCTTTATATCCTATTATTACTATGACAGTGGAGTGTGCTTAGAATGACTGGAACACACAATCATTGAGTGTTCTCATAGAACAAGAAGGCTGAGAGTATGAGACAGGGATCCTGTATTGAGAACATTATAATCTGTGAAGGCAAACTGCACAAAACAACTATAGTACAAAAGCCAAATAAAATATCAGCAATAGTAATATAGGCTTAAAAGCAATACCAACTACCCTATTTAGGGGGCTGTCAGTGGCAAGTTATAACACCTGAAGGATGAGTTTCAAGAGTCCATCCCAAAATTGGCAGTTCTCAAAATTTGGCATGCATCAGAATCATACTAGGGCTTGTCAAAACAGGTGTCTGGGCTCCACTTCCAGAGCACTAATTCAGTAAGTCCAAGGTAGGATCTAGAATTAGCATTTCTACCAGATTTGCAGATGACGCTGATGCTACTGGTCATGGACCACACTTTGAGAACCATTGCTCTGGCATCAGCATTCTCCATGGATTTGCAGGTTTAGTTTTACACACTTACTCTAAAATCTATATTCAGCAACTCTTCCTGATATCCCTTATCCTTTTACTTGCAACCCCAACCCACCTTGGCTAGTTCCAACCTCCTTTCCAGAAATGACATAAGTGAAATCTAATCCCTATTCCTGATAGTCCCTCTTTCATGCATTACTTTAGAGATCAGAAACATACTCCTTGTTCTGTTTCCCCTCCATACTCATTTGTTCCAGAATTGTGATTCTTCTTGTCCATAGTAACATGGCAGCAAACACAGACAGCTTAAACATTAATGGGACTCTTCTAAACCAAACTATTGGCTCAGTGAAATCCCTATCAAAACCCAGTGACTTTTTGTTTCATAAATAGAAAAATTCATACTAACATTTCAAGGATTCTCAAAGGATCCCAAATAGCCAAAACAATCTTAAAAGAAGAAAAACAAAAACAAAACCTTGAATAAAGCTAGAGGTCTCATACTACCTGACTTCAAAAGTTATTACAAGGCCACGGTATCAAAAGAGTGTGGTGTTGACATAAAAACAGACATTATAGACCAATGGAATAGAATACACCCTACAAACAAACCCTAACATACATGTTCAAATGCTCTTTTGGCAAGCCTACCAAGACCATTCAATGGAGAGAGAATAATGTTTTCAACAAATGGTGCTGGGAAACGATAACCACCTACGAAAGAATAAAGTTGGACCTTATACCGTATACAGAAATTGACCCAAAATGAATCAAAGACCATCCATTGTAAATGTAAATGCTGAAAGTATAAAAGACTTAGAAAAAAATAGGGAACATTCATGACATTGGATTTAGCAATGATTTCTTAGATGACACCAAAAACCAGTCAACAAAAGAAAAGAAATAAATTGGACTTCATCAAAATTTAAAACTTGCATTCAAGGGCAGAATGGCAATGGGAAAAAATGCTTGCAAATCATCTGATGAGTTAATAACGTAAAGAACTACTACAACTGAACAAAACACAACAGCCCACTTAGAAAATGAGCAAAGAATTTGAATAGATAATTCTCCAAAGAAGATACTCAGATGGCCAATAAGCACATGAAAAATACTCAGTATCACACTAATTGTTAGGGAAATGAAAATCAAAACCACAATAAGATGACATTTCCACCCATCAGGATGGCTAATATAAAACAGAAACAACAAGTGTTGATGACCATGGGAAGAAATTGGAACCTTTATGCATTGCTGGTGGGAATGAAGACAGTACAGGTGCTGTTGAAAACAGTGGCAGTTATCAAAAAATTTAAACATGGGATTACCATATCATTCAACAATTCCACTTCTGGGTATATATCCCAAAGAACTGAAAGCAGAAACATACTGGCATTTGTATATGATATTTGTAGCAGCATTATTTATAATAGCCAAAGGAGGAAAATACCCAAATATCTATCTATTGAAGAAGGAATGGATAAACAAAATGTGACATACACATACAATGAAATGTTACTCAGCCTTAAAAAGGAATGAAATCCTGATATGTACTACCACATAGATGAACCCTGAATGCATTATACTAAGTAAAATAAGCCAGATGCAAAAGGACAAATATTATATGTTTCCACTTATTTGAAATACCTAGAGTAGTCATATTCACAGAGATAGAAAGGATGGGGTTTTCTAAGAACTGGAGGGAAACAAAAATGAAGAGTTATTGTTTAGTAGGTACAAATTTCCAGTTTGGGAGGATGAAAATTTTCTGGAGATGGATGGTGATGATGTTTATCCAGCAATGTAAATGTATTTAATGCCACTGAAATATATACTTAAAAATGCTTAAAATGGTGAATTTATATTTTGTATATTTTACCACAATAGAAGAAATTAATGGCACTTTTAGTATGTCCCCTGGTGAAAGAGTTCACCTTTTGGGAACAAGAACCTCTAGACAAGCAGAACCTAAGAGTTGCAGGAATAGGAAGCACCACAGATGCCCCAAGTGGACAACTGAGAGCAGTGGTGGTAGGCGAGGTCTGCTCATACTGCCACCCCTTGGATCCAGAACCCACACAAACCTATTGTAAATACAGGTCTGATAATGACGCTTGACTTAGGGCATATAATGTGTCCTGGCAGATGGTACCTTATTATTATTGCAGGGTTATCATCTCCACACTGGCACTGCAGCACCTTCCAGAGACTATTTGATCACTCATCTTCTGGGTGGTACAGGATGTGAGAGATCCACAGGGTCCTGTGGTCATGTGCCCACTGCTACACCTCTTTCACTCAGAATGGGCCTCTTGGGGTTGCCATCACCATAAGATATGCTCCAGGGAGCTGCTGTGCTTCTAACCTGCATCCTAGAATGAGATACATGGAGCAGAGTCATCCCAGGTGTTCCACAGCCCAAAGCAGGATGACCTTAGCTGATCTTCATAAGCAAGAAATAAGTGCTTATTGTATGCCACTGAGATTTTGTATCTTTGTAGCAGTATTTGGTACACTTCTATATCTTTTCCCTAAAATTTCTTAGTTTATCTTGTTCATTTTTCTCATTTCTTAAGTGGAATGCTTCCTTAGCATATTGACAATATTTTTCTCAAAAATGCATTCAAAAATGAGTCTTTTTCTCAGAACTGTTTTCATCACATACCACAGCTTTAGATATGTAAGCTCTCAGTATTATTCTTTTATAATTTTTAAATTTCAATTTTGATTTGCTCTTTAGCTCATAAAGATAAATTTTACCTTGCGGTCCTTTTGATGTTAATTGTAGTTGACTGCATTATGGCTAGTGAACGTGAAGTGTATTTCTAATTTTTGAAATTTACTGTGATTTTTTTTGTGAACAAGCATATGCTTGAGTTTTGCAAATGTTCCTTGGACAAGAACAGTATGTATTTTCTGTTATGGGTCACTAAATTCTATTTAAAACTTAGAGCAAAGTCACTGAGAGTTTAATCAAGATTCTTCACAGCCACCATGATTCCCCTCCCCACCTTCCTTTCCTCCTCCTTTGTCTTCCTCCTCATCCCCCTTCTCCTTCCTCTTCTTCTTAACCATCATCATTATTACTTGTCTACTTGGTGCATCAAATTCTAAGAAACATGTATTAAATTCCCCTAATAAAATTGTAGTTTTTGAAAGTGTTGTATTTTTAAGTGTTTGCCTTACATGTTTGCTACTGTAGTTTCACAGATCTTCTTCATTTATTGGGCTTTTATCATTACAAAATATCTTTTTCCCCAGTGTACTGCCACTGGCCTTGAATTCCATTGTATCTGAAATTAACACTGCCACCTCTGCTTTCTTTTTGTTCGTATTTGCATTAAATTTTTGCTCTTCTTTGTTCTTTTAAAAATTTTCTACCTTATTAGGAAAATAAATTAACAAGTTTCCTTCTCATTGCCCAGTCACATCCACTGTGAAGAAACTTATGTTAACACCATTCTCTTAAGTTCATAAATAAGTATAAACATGTTGTGGTAGGGTAATGGCTCTTCAGAATTTCTAGGTTCTAATTTCTAGAGCTTGTGAATGTTACCTTATGTGGAAAAAGAGTCTTTGTATATATGACCAGGTTAGGGATTTTGAGATGAGAAGGTTATCCTGGATTATCTGGGTGGCCACTGAATGGAATCATAAGTGTCCCTGTAAGAAGGAGAGATTTGACACAGAAGAGAAGACAATCTGATAATGACAGTAGATACTGGAGTTGTATAGACACAGGCCAAGGAATGCTTGTAGCCAATAGAAGCTGGAAAAGACAAGGAAGAGACTCTCGTCTAACAACTCTGGAGAGAGTGTGCTGAATGCTGAATCTACACCTGATTTCAGCTCAGTGTAATGCATGATTTTGGAACTCTGACCTCCAGAAGTGAATGTGTGTTGTTTTAAGCCACCAACTCTCTGCTGCTGTAAATTGTTACAGCAGATAGAAAACTAATATATACCAAAGATTTTCTTTTTTTATATTTTACAAATATGACATCATGCTTTTACAGTGCTCTGTAACTAGACTTTTTTCCCCTAGATAATGTATCAATTACATCTTTACAGGTCAGTTATCTCTAAATCCCACCCTTTTTAATAACCACATGATATTCTAGAGTATGGGTAGTTCATAATTCATTTAACCATTCCTTTGTGCATGGACATTCTAGTTGTTTCCAGTTTCTTAGTGCCAATATAGTTGACCCTTGAGCATGGGGGTTAGGGGTGCTGAACACCTGCACAGCAAAAAATCTGTGTATATCTTTTGACTCCCCCAAAACTTAACTACTAATATAGCCTACTGTTGACTGGAAGCCTTGCTGATAACATAAAACAGTTGATTAAATACATATTTTATATGTTATATGCATTATATACTGTACTCTTTTAATAAACTAGAAAAAAGGTCTTTTCAATTTGTCACAATCTCTTAAAAAAGTCCAATGTTTATTGAAAAAAGTCACGTATAAATGGACCCATGCAGTTCAAACCTGTGTTCCTCAAAGGTTAGCTGTAGTGTAGTAAAGAAACACACTTGTGTGTGTGTGTGTGTGTGTGTGTGTGTATTGACTGGAATTTTTGGAGGGGAGGGGAGCGTAGATTCATGAGAAATTATGGGTAAGTACATTTTAAATTTTAGTAAATACTATCAGATTGCTTCATAGAAAGGCTGTAACAATTCATATTCCCATCTGATCAGAATTTCCCTTGGTACAAGTGAAATTTAGCATCTTTTCATAGTTTTGGGCAATTTACATTTTCTATTTTATGCAGTGGTTGTTTAGTTCCTTTGCACATTTTTTTTCTTTGGGTTATTTGCCTTAACTCTTTTTTCTGTCATAGGTTTTAGAAATATTTTGCTGGTCTTTCAGTTAGTCTTTGATTTTACTTCTCTTTTATGATCCTGTGACAGAATTCACCCAATACTTGACTACTCACATCTAAAGAAGGCTGAGAATCTAAAATATCCTCCTCTCTATGCCCTAAATCAAGAAATCTCACTAGTAAGGTCCTCTAATATAGTATTTTGGAACAGATATTTGCCCCATGTCTCTCGTTTTAAATCCATCATTGCCTGCCTCATGGATCTCAATGGCTTAACCTACACAGATGCTGAAAGAAGAGATTATCAGTTAGTATGGGCTAGGTTATGTTATCTAAATCTCAGTAGCTCACAGTAAAGGTTTATTTCTTGTTCACATTACACGTCCACTACATGTTGGTCATCTTGGCAAAGGGGCAGAATATAAAAGCTTCAGCATTTCTGACACACATTAGTTTTGTTCACATTTCACTGGCAAAAACTAGTCACATGGTCATGCTTGAGTTCACTGGAGCAAGGAAATGAAATCCTTCTACAAGGTAAGTCACTGAATATCTATGAAAAGTTATCAGTCTACAATACACACACTGATATGTGCAGGCAAATGGAAAAAACCACCAGTCATATGGGCATTCAGTGGCTGGAAGAAAGTAAACCAAGACAAAAACAACAGGCAATTCCTGGTGTTAGTGAGATCAAATTGCTTCTCCTAGAGCTTTTATCCTACTGAGGTACAAGAGTCAACTTCCTGAGGCCCTTCAGACTGCTACTGGGCTGAACATTCTCTCCAGGTTCAGACAGGCAGGGCTCCTCCGAGGCTGCTGGCTCCCTAGTCTTTCTCTGGCTCAGTAACATCAGTGCATAGACAAGTCCCTCCTCCCATATCATAATGCCCTACCTCATCCTCTCAAGAACCTGAGGCCTCATTAAAGAGACTTTTCAGGATCAAGCCGTTCTCTAGAAGAGAGAGGTAGTCAAGGATGTTTGTCCCAAAGACTCTAGAACTCAACATGCCGTTCTCAGTAATTTCACCTTGGCTTCTTCCTCAAAGCCAATTATTCTAATTCATCCTAGTCCTTCACATCTTTGCCATCGACCACCTCCACTGTGTGCATCTGGAGGTCTCATCTTTTCTGCAGCATGATCAGCCGTTTCCTCCCCCTCCACTGGGGTGATCAGTGCTGCTCCCTGACGCCTGGTTCTCTCCTGGACACATGGTAGGATGAACTTCCTGGCTCCTCTGAGGCTCATTCTCTGACGAGTTTTGGCATGAATTGTGAGTAGAACTGACGTTTGCCACTTATGGGCTAGAGAATTTGTTAATGTGAGACCTTCTAGAACTCCCTCTTTTCCTTCTGGAAAAAGCCCATTGATAACTTAGATTATATATATGTATTTTTATTGTTTCATAGTTTAGCCTATCTTGACAAACTATCAATACCCTTTTCAGGTATTTAAATACATGTGACACATATTTACAATAATCTTCAATGTGTCTTTATGTACATAATGGGTATAAAATGCTCCATAACTCTTAAGGCACAAATATAGTACCAGTACTCTTCTCTCTCCAAATCAAATTTGATAGGCTCAAGCACCCAGATGCCATTTAGGTAGAAGCTCAGAATCACTCTGTCGGGCTTTTCCTACTGACCCTACATTGATTTTTCTCAGTGTTATGTTCACACACCTGTATCACAATCATCTGGGGTATTTGTTAAAAAACAGACTTCCATGGTACCCATCAAATCAGAATCTCTGGCAGTAGGACCCAACATGCCCCCAGGTCATTATTCCGCACAGATCTTTCAGGCTGAAGTTACCTTGCCTGTCTGATTCCCACATGACATCCACACCAGCACTGTCCAGTAGAATTTTCTTCAGTGATAGAAATGTCCTACATATGCACTCTCTAACCACTAGGCACATGTGGGTATTGAGCTCTTGAAATGTGACTAGCGTGACTGAGGAACTGAATCTTCAAGTTAATTAAATATAAATTTAAATAACAACATGTGGCTTGAGGTTACCATATTGGATATGCTAATCCTTGAGAGCAAGAACTGTTGTCAATTCTGTGTGTCCAACGAATGACCCAGTAAGTAAAAACTGAGACAGGCAATAGGCCTGTGTCCATTTTTGATGTTCCTGATAATATTAAGAAGAAATGCCTAGATAGGAATACAAAAATTGTGGTTTATTTTAATTGTTTACCTTACACATTTTTCTTCTGATGAGGACTTTTAAGAGCTACTCTCGTAGAAACTTCCAAATATGCAATACAGTAATATTTATAGTCACCATGTTATACATTATATCCCCAGGATGTATTTATTGTATAACTGTAAGTTTGTACCTTGACTCCCCTTCATCCATTTTGACTACCCTATACCCCTCACCTCTGGCAACCATCAATCTATTCTCCAAATCTATGAGCTTAGTTTTTTGTTTTGTTTTTTAGATTCCACATATAAGTTAAGTCATATGGTATTTGTTTTACATTTGGCTTATTTGTATTAGCATAATGCCTTCAAGGTCCATCCA